TTTTTTTTTTTTTTTTTTCTTGTACCGGGGATTGAACTCGGGTCCTTGTACTTGCAAGGCAGGCCACCGAACCACTGAGCTAAATCCCCGGCCTCATGAAAGTATTCTTTTCCAATTAAAAAACAAAGTGTGAAAAGGCAACTCACAGACCGATATTCCTCACACAACCTATAAACAATCAACATAAGAGAATATATATTCTCTCTATATATATCGATATATATACACATACACACACACACACACAAGTTTTTAGTACTGGGGATTAAACTCAGGGCCTTTGTACTGAGCTACTTCTCTAGCCTTTTTATTCTGAGACAGGGTCTCCCTAAGTTGCTAAGTTGCCCAGGCTGAGCTTGAACTTAGAATCTTTCTTCCTCAGCTTTCAGAGTTCTGGGATAATAAGCATGTGCCACTATGCCAGGCCCAGAATATATATTTTTTTAAAAGCTGCCTATAAATAAAAACCTTCCTGCCAGGGTTTTAGCTACAGCGTTAAGACTCTGTTTCAAAAAGACAAAAATACATATGCATAGCTTCCCAGAAGACAAAACATGAACAGACAATAAATACATTTTTTAAATGAAGAGAGGGAAGGGAAAGGGGATGAAAAAGGGAATTAAAATGAGTTATGTACATATATCAACTTCCCACAAGGAATGGAAACATTGTGCTACACATTTGTACTTATAAAAATTTTTAACGTCAAAAAAGAAATGTTCCATCACCTGTCTCGCAAGCACAAGGTCTTGAGTTTGATTACCAGTACCAAAAAATTAAAAAAGAAAAAAAAAGTGAAAGACAAAACAAAGCAAATAAGACTCACCTCACTAATAATCACAAAGATGCAAAATGAAAACACAGTGAAGATAATGGTTTACACCTGTAGGACTGGCAAAAATGTCCATCAGTTCTAGGTATTAGTGAGAAAATGCTCTAAGCAGAATTTCAATATATTGTAGTGAGTAATGTAAATTGATAAGAACACTTTCAAAAAATTCCTTTTAGGGGTGAGGATTTAGCTTAGTGGTTCTGCCACCTGCCTTGCTAAGTGCAAGGTCCCAAGTTCAATGCTCGGTACCAAAAAAAAAAAAAAAAAAAAAATCCTTTTATTCCAAGGAAACTTCTGTAAAACATGTAAAAGAATATTTTTAATAGTTCATATAAATAATTTGTAAATCTCAAAATAATAACAAAAATAAAGAGCAATCTGGACATAAGCCATATGATTATCAAAACCAAGAATAGGTAAATAAATTCTGGTAATAATCACACATTGGAACAAACCGTGGCCATAAAAATGAGTAAACTACAGCTATGTGCAACAGTGTGGATGAATTTTAGGAACACTGTTTAAGAGAAAAAAGCTGGAAAATAACTAAATATGGTACCATTTTTACCAATTCACTTGAACCATAAACAGAATTACCTGGGTGATGAAATGACACAGACAAGAAAATGACTTTAAAAACTTCATTACAAAAATCCAAATTGAAGAACACACTACAAATAATTATAATTTATAATCTTCAAAAATGTCAAGGTCAAAGGTTTTGAAACTATCCCAGATTAAAGTAGACTAGAGAGATGTGTCAACCAACTACAGTTTCAGACGTGTCAACTAACTACAGATTTTAGCTATATCAGATCTTTGATCTATAAAGAACCCAAGTAGGACAATTCACAAAACTTAAATGTGGCCTCTGGGTTTATATGGGATTTCTTTGCGTTATTCTTGCAACTTTTCTGTACATGTAGGATTGTTCCAAAATAAAACTTAGTTTTTTTCTTTATAGCAGTTTTATTCATAATTGCAATATGGAAGTAACCAAGTGTCCCTCAGTAGGTACGTGAATACACAAACTGGAACATGTTAACATGGAATATTACTCAGCACTAGGAATAACTGACCTATGGAAAACCAAAGCAATCTTGCCAAGCACGGGGATGCATGCCTGTAATCCCAGCACTCAGGAGGATCCAAGTTCAAGGGTAGTCTGGACGAAGTGCAAGACCCTATTTTAAAACATAAAACAAATGAACAAACAAAAGAAGAAAACCGAAAGAAAATCTTACATGTATATTGCTGGGTAAAAGTGGTTGAACAGCTACATGTTGTATGATTAAAAATATACGGCATTCTAGAAAAAGCAAAGCCACGGAGATGGCATAGAGATCTATGGTTTCCAGGGCATGAGACGAAGGAGAGACAGATGGAGCACCAGGAATTTTTAGGGCAGTGAAACTATTCTCCATGATTCTGTGTCATTAAACATTTGTGAAAACCTATAGAATGGCTGGGCATGGGTGTCCATGCCTGTAATCCCAGCTATGTGGGAGGCTGGAGCAGGAGGTCTGCAAGTTCAAAGACAATCTCTCTTTTTTTTTGGTATGGGGATGGAACTTGGGACCTTGCATTTGTGAGGCAGGCAGTGGAACCACTGAGCTAAATCCCTGGCCCCCTGTTTTTCTCTCTCTTTTTAAAAATTGTTTGTTTGGTTTGTTTTGTTGAGACAGGGTCTCACTATGTAGTGCAGGCTTGCCTCGAACTCACTCTGTAGCCCAGACTGGTCTCGAATTCACAGCAATCCTCCTGCCTCAGCATCTGGAG